CCTGACCCCAAACTAAAACTACAAGCTGCAAACAGGTCTGACATCAAGACGTACGGCAAAAGGCGGTTGCAATTAAATTTCGGTCCTAAATCTAATTTTTCCTGGAGTTTCATCATAGCGGACGTCCTCGTTCCTATAATCGGCATTGATTTTCTGCAATTCCACAAAATACTGGTAGATGTCAGAAATAGGAAACTTGTCCTTGCCGAACAGAGTAAGGAAATTAGAGGAATTATATCAAATGAGACTTCCATACATTTATTAGTTAAACCTCATCATGAGAACGACAAATACGTCAATTTACTTAATCAGTTTCCAGATTTATTACGACCGAGTTTCAAACACGACAAACCGACGCATACCGTCGTACACCACATAAAGACAGAGGGTCCACCTGTGTTCGCACGTCCAAGACGCCTTGATCCCTCTCGTCTGGCTATCGCAAAGAACGAATTCAACAAAATGATTGAGTTGGGCATCATACGCCCCTCCGATAGTCCGTGGGCATCACCGCTTCATATGGTACCTAAGAAAAACTCTTCCGAAGTTAGATCGTGCGGTGACTATAGAGCTCTCAACAGCCGGACCATACCAGATAGATATCCTCTCCCACATCTGCATGACTTCACTCATAGCCTATCTGACGTGTCGATCTTTTCAAAAATTGATCTCGTCCGTGCTTACCATCACATTCCAATTCATCCAGACGATGTTCCTAAAACAGCCATTACTACCCCCTTTGGACTATACGAATTCGTCCGCATGCCTTTCGGATTAAGGAATGCTGCACAAAGTTTCCAGCGTTTTATTGACCAAGTGGTACGGAGCTTACCGTTTGTGTATGCTTACATAGATGACCTACTTATAGCAAGCAAAGATGAAAATGAACATCTAACTCATCTGAAAATGCTTTTTGAGAAGCTAAACGAGTATGGGTTAGCGGTCAATCCTGACAAATGTGAGTTCGGAAAACAATCCCTCACCTTTTTAGGTCACGTACTTGATAAGCAAGGCATTAAACCAGTTCCTGAGGAAACACAAGCTATCAAAAATTATCCTTTGCCTGATTCATTCAAGAAACTACGACGTTTCCTTGGGATGATCAACTTTTACAGACGTTTTATCCCTAAATGTGCAGACTTAGCAAAACCACTAACTGATTTATTAAGGGGACGAGCTAAATCATTAGCAATGACACCGCAAGCAATTCAAGCATTTGATCAGTTGAAAAGCGCTTTAAGCACAGAGGCATTACTCGCACGACGAAAGGTTCATGCACCTTTAGCAATAATGACCGACGCTTCTAACGTAGCAGTAGGTGCTGTACTTCAGCAACGTGTCAATGAACAATGGCAACCCCTTGCATTTTTCTCAAAAAAGCTAAACGCAACGCAAACGAAATATAGCACATTCGGTAGAGAACTGTTGGCTATCTACTTAGCCATCAAACACTTTCGCTACATGTTAGAAGGCAATTCTTTCACGATATATACTGATCACAAACCCCTAACTAAGTCCTTGATGCACAATCATGATAAATATAGTCCGCGCGAAATTCGTCAACTAGAATTCATTTCACAATTTGCAGCTGATATACGCTATATTAAAGGCAATGCAAATGAGGCAGCAGATGCACTATCGAGATTAAATATCAATACCTTCTCGATCCCTGATATAGACTATCAAGAAATGGCAAAGCATCAAAAGGTCGATACGGAGCTACAAAAGCTTTTGCAGTCTAAGGAAACGAAATTATTATTCCAAAACATCCCCATAAACAACAAGGACACCTTAGCTTGTGATACCTCAACAGGTAAAACTCGCCCTTTTGTACCTTTCGGTATGAGACGAAATATTTTTGAGAAAAAACAGACAACTGTAAAACCGTCTAAACCTGCAGCAGAGCAAGCACCATTCAAACTACCTGCAACAAGCAACACTTCAAATCGAAATTCAGCAGCAGCACAAACTACAACAAGATCAGGAAGAAGAGTACATTGGCCAGATAGGTATGTAGCAACCACCATATTTATCTAGACCAAATCCTGAGACTACTCTTATAACACATAAAAATCCTACTTTATTTTGATTACTATTTTTTTTATTGGCCCCACGGATCATCATTATGCTTACATTTTAACTTTATACAATTCATTAATGTTAAATATACACTTGTATATACATGATATGAAACGTTTCAACACACAAGCTGTTATTACAATTTTACGCTTACTCATCATATTGAGTTGTACTTTTATTTTAAAAACAGTTCCGTTCTTTATCTCTTTGTCGAACATAGATGTTAATCCAATTTTTTTTTTTTTGGTACATAAAAACATCAATGTTCTGGATGGGAGCTTATGTGGCAAGCCCATTTGGCCACTGTATCATCTGTCTATTCATTGTAACTTAGACTCTTAATTCACTATGTTAATTTCGGTGTGTATGATCGAATGCATGTCTGTACATTAACTTTTAAACTATTTTCCTATTGGTTTCAACGTGCAGATAATCGATAATTTATACACACCCGATTAACCCTCAAATATATATGGATTTTTAACAAACTCACACTCTCTCTGTTCCCATCGTGTGCTTGCTCACAATACGCTTGTGGATTATCATTATTCATTAATAATAAACTATCTCCATAACTGGTGTTCAGGCTTCTCAATAATCTCGAGTAAATCCGTAATTCTACTAGGAGATTAAGCCTACCTTAAATACTCAGTTACGGAGTATCATTATTTGGAGTCAGATATTAAGGACATTATCCATAGCTTGCTTGTCAGAGAAGTGTCTTCACAAAACAAAACAAAATCATCTGTGCATTCTTAGTCAACAAGTAAATCTCCTGGTTGATCAGCCTCTAAAAAGTCAGACAGTTGCAAAATCTGCACCCAGGTGATACTTAGTTAACTTAGCAACCACGCTACCTAGGAGTGTTTCATTAAGTAAAAGACTATACCTGATCTACTTTTTATTGTGATCATTTTGTTGAACCTTGCTGTTTTTACAGGTTCAGATCTAATTCTTCTGTCGGCAAAGTGTTTGATTTAAATTTGAATTTAGTTATAACTTGTGAGTTTTTTTCATGTCTAATTACGTAATGGTTCTATTTGTTTTAAAGGAACTAGAAAGGTTATTTCATAACGTGATGTCATACAACTACTATAATTTCAAAATAATACATTTATCAACTGAGATAACATAAAATCTTTTCATTGGGTCTTTTCTACAGCCTAGAAGAAATCAAATGCTAATAGTCTTGTTATTATGTGTTCTACGTGCTTCTATCATCCCATTATGTATGCTGTGTAATGCACAACCTAGAAATTATTTACCAGTCATATTTAAACATGATATTTTCCCAGCATTCATGATTCTATTTTTGGGACTAACTAATGGTTATTTAGTATCGATATCAATGATACATGGACCAAGGCAAGTGTTGTTTGTGCTTTTTTCATATACTAACAATTTCCTACACTGTAAAGACAAACTTTTTTTCTATCAAAATATTCGTAATCGATAGTTGAGTTAGTAGTAATTCACTGTATATTGTACAGCTAGTTTTGAATCAAAGATTTGAATTTTATTCATTTCATTTACAGTACAGTTAAGCACTATCACTTACGAACTATTCGACAATCGGTCACCATTATTATTATGGTAGCGAGTCATCAATAACTACAAATATTTCGATTGCAGTCATGAATATTTGTCTTCTTTCATTTGACGTTGACAGACAAATAAATCAGTAATGTGCGACGCAGAACGTGGTATATGTACTGATTGGTTCAAATTGCTGCACTTACATTAGCACGGTTTTCTTCCAGCATACTTCTATATCACAAAACACGGTGTTTGGGGATAAGTAATACATGTCTCAATTATCTCAGTCGTTGAACATTCACTACCTCACCAACCTGTCTGTCATTTTTGTCTAGCACTATCAGTCTAACTTTAGCACTACACGCTCAGGCGTCCCAACATGCACAATGTTTCTAAGGCATCTATGATCAGATTCCAGTAGCTTACGGACATAGGAGAAGCATAAGTTAATAGCTACTGTTAGGTTGTTGAAAATTTGATTCGTTCACAGTTCAAAACTAAGATTCGATAACCAAATCCATTTGACAAACTCATTTCTACATTAGTTTGTTTGCTCTAAATATTTAGGTGAATGGATATAAGTGACAATGATTCTTCCTGCAAGTGTGTTAGTTAGAGTTCAACTAACTACTTCTTTACTGCATAAGATAATATCATGGTTGGAATTATTGGTTCGCGTGGTTTGATTTAGGACTTAATTCAACAACGCTAATGAATAATAGCATTCATAAACGTATCGTAATTTTTGACAAGGTAGTGCAGATGTTGTTCAGGATTTAAAGGACTTAGATATGTTAGTTTACAAACTCTACGCACTTTATTGAGTACAGAAAATGATTTTGCAGGGATTATTGATTTATGCTCGTAACTTCTTGGCTGACTTACAAGGTACTACCACGAATTCTGACACTTTAAGTGATGCATAGCGAACGTAATTATATGTTCATTCACTTTCCATTAAATTTCGAATTTCTTGAACATCCCACACTATTTCTACCTGCTTGTATATCACACCTTGTAATCATCACTACTGTTTTTATTTTTGTAATTTTACTAATTATTTGATATATGCGTATGATTAAACTTCCCTGTTTATTGTTTCGTTTAGTTTCGCATCACCTGGTAACCAAGAATCCGCTGGTGCAGCATTAAGTATATACTTATCTTTTGGATTATCACTTGGTGTTGCCATATCAGTTGGTTTAGTACAAGGTTTATGATTGTACGCGCGTTTGTCAGTGACTTGATTTTATCCATGCATCCGTCACAAAACAGTTAAAAAACAAACAACTGACCTTTTTTGGTCACATATTACATATATTTTCATTATTAATTGCTTTGCAAAAAACAAAAATAAAGAATTACAGTGTCTGAATTTACTACTTCTATGAATTTACAGATGACAACATTGAACAAGTACTATTCTCCACGATTGTTGAAGGTGATTCTGATTTTGTATGTTCACTGTCTTCCTTGGGAAATGATGGTTGTAATTTTGATCGGAAAAAATCAAATATATGATGTAATACAGTACTAGGAATGAGATCATGTTCTGTTGTGCCTTGAATTAAAAGCAAAAAAGAAAAGTTGAAAAAAAAACAAATATTGACAAGCATTATGAGCAAAGATGGATGGTGTTTATATATTTACTTTATTTGAACACATAAATATTGGTACAAAGGGGCAATATTTATCTCATCACAAATCCGATAAGACGGATGGTGGCTAGCAGTGGAATCCAGGACTCACGTTTCATCCTATTTGGGACTCGTCAGCTAGATGTACTTACATCCGAGTTGATGTTCACTCTGGGACTAGAACCCAGCACCGTTCGTTTCAAACGGCATCGCGTCCCAAATAGAACAAAACGCGTGTTCTGGATTCCACTGCTTGCCACCACCCATCATTGCTTATAATGCTTGTGACTTAAGGCAATATCAATGCTGTCCGCACAAGATGCATATATGCCAATAAGAGACGGATCAATTGCAGTCCCAAACATCAATGGGAAGATTCAAACGAACAGTACAAAAACGAATTAAATATTGACAAGGTTCATGGATGACATAGACTGTAATTTTCACATTTATATAAATCATTATTGTTTCTGAGCCGATCGAAGTAAAATACTGTAAGAGTAATCATCATTGAAAAAACCTGGTCAATAAGACAGCCTAGAACATGTGTGAGTAGGTTCCAGTTGTTATATCACATCAGTATGATGAGATGAAATAAATTAGATGAATAGTACAAGAGCCGAAGTAATAGCAAGATTAAACACTGAGTTCACAGTTCGAAAAGACAATGAAAATGTACATGTGGAGGAAAAGAGATACTCCGGACCTAGTACATTATTACTGATCCTAAACTGCATAACCTAGTCTTCAACTACTGATCGTGGTTGTCTGATAAACCCCAGTCAGGTAGTCAACATCTCACAACAAGGTCAGCACATATATGTGTATCGAAAGAACAACTCTGAAGGTAAACTTAACTAAAACAAACACTTTAAAGGGGTATTTAAAGATAAATGTGGTAATTAATTTTAAAAAATACCTACTTGATGACAGTGTTGGGATAGCATGTCGTTGTGTATTAACTTGTGGATTGAGTCGTGTACCTAATTTGAGATTGGCTGCTACATAGTTCACTGAATTCTGAGTTGTTTGTAGTAGTAGATTGAAAATGAAAGTAGATATATAAAATTTAGGCACATCAACAATGGTGTTACGACACACCATTATGAAAAATTAATAGATCATACTTTTTTTCCAAAATTTTCGACAAATAAACACATTTAAAAGTTTGGAAATTGAATGCCTTTGAGCATTCATTTTAGCGCAAAATATTCATTTAACACAGAAACATCGAGTAATTAAACCTACAGTGAACTTGAGTCAACAATTGTCTTCTAAATCTAAGTAACTTCTACACACTAATATGAACGAAGTTTATCAAAACGAATGATAAACACTCATCCTCTTCTATATTTGGAACAGGTCTAAGGATTGATTTTGATTTAACCTTTTTAATATCATATATAGTTTTTGGGTGAATACTTAGATCTTTGAAAGCTTTGGTCATAAGAAAAATATTTAAAATTGCTTGTATGTTAAAAATCATTTTGTACTTATATTAATCCGACTTGGGTAGTGGTGCACTTTAGTTTACTATCCAAAAGTGAGTCGTTCCTCTATCACTCTCTGGTGCTTCCTACATTTTTATTTATACTCCTTTTGATATATATATATATATATATATATAACCAGGTTATTACAATTATAATGGGGCTCATTAATTCATATAATTCTGATAAACTTATTGTTTTAGTCCGACTATCAGTCATCATGTTTAGAAATTGTTGGAAAATTTACTTGAATATCATCCGATTCTTATGTAGTAGTTATTCTAAAAAAATGAATATCAGTGAATATCACCTTAAACAATCCGAAATCGTGATAACGTGGTGTAAAATGAAATAGATATTCAAATTACAATCTGAGTCGTATAATAGTTAGGTACATGAATGGTTTTCGATAGTTAAAGTTTGGAGTAAGCAAGGATGAATATACTTTATAGTTTCGTTCACATTTTATAGGTACACTAAAGTGAAAGTAGACTCTCCAACATACGACAATTAGAATTGTTCGTGGTATGATCCCAATTTATGAATGACTAACAAAATATTAAGCGTAAAAATACCCTATCGCAAGTGAACAACAATGTGTTCTTTATCAGTACAGAAATTTGTGGAGATTGTAGTATTTTAACGGTTGAATTCATCCTACTCCTCAGCAGTGTGCATTCATACTGGGAGGGAATGTTCGTTCATTGCTTTTACGTCTTCAATGGAGGTCTGGTTTAGATCGACTTGTGAATTTAACTATGAAAATGTGTTCTTTCTTCATAAAACTAACGTACCTGTGATAACCATTCTCTGAATTGTAAGACTTTTTCTGGTATATTTTGCTGATATATTGTAGGCTTATAAATACAGGGTAATTCACTATCATTATTATTCTGTTCATTAAGGATATTCAACCCCCATCCAACCCCAGCTGCACATAAATCCAACACATCTGCTGAATCAGTAAATACAACAGCTTTTACACGACTTGTCAACTCACGCCATAAACGCTCCGCTTTACGTTGCCATGCTCTTGCTAAACGTAGTTGTAAAAATTCATCTGAATTATTATTATCCTTTGAAATGATATCAGACCATATACCAACACTTTGAGGTATGACACCACCATGTTTAGCAAAACGCATGGCATCCAAGTCACTACCACTTACTGCTGGTAAATTATCAACACATAATTTATTTTCAGTTTGATTTGTAATAGAATTTGAGGCATTTTTCTTTGAAATGTTTTTAGCTAATAAGCCGTTATCATCTGGTAACCAAAATGCACGCCTTGAAGCTTCTGGAGTGACATGATGTCTCCATGGTCCATAAATACGTCGATCGAACCATAAACGTCCAGTTGAAACTACAAACAATTAAAGTTTAATACAGTTCAGTTGTGGCTATATTTCGGATGGTTATACATAGTGGGAAAAAGTTAGACTGTATATAAGGATTACTATATTTGAGGTTCATATTACATTTATTTACAAACGTAATTATTAGATGCTTGTAGGATGTGAAATTTTTGTACTACATTCAAATAAGATTCCCGTGTGAATACATTATTTCTTTTTTCGTTGACACTCAGCAATCGGAAATTTGACCGGGAAAAATTTGAACTTATTTAAACTTTCACCATTTAATCAAACGATTAGAAGATTGATGAAGGCCATTTACGAGAAATGTAACAGGAGATTCTAGATATTAAACAGTTCCAAAGTAATTATTTCAGAAATATCTGAAACCCAAATATCCAGCGACTCAATATCATTAACTTGTATTTCACGAACGAATCAATCATAAATAGTGATCAAGATTTCCGATTTAACTGAATGGATGTTAACAGTGGTCTGAATTTAAGTTACTACATAATTAGATTGAAGTTAATACTTATCACAAACTAATACTATTCAGCGATTCACTGAAAACCGATAGACACTGTTTTGTTTGTAATAGTCGCGATTCCTAAGAATCATGTTACCGAAATTCTATCCGGGATCGAACCCAGGAACTGCAGATCTTGCAGTGAACAATCCACTTTTACAAGACTGAGCAGGAATACAGAAGCTTATATGTACAACATTCTATTCTTACTATAGGGAGGTTGAGTATGTATTGATGAGAAGTTTCAACTTGACGTAAAATATTTTTACAGTACTCCATGGTTTTGATTACTTATTTACGTGGTAACATTTTAAACTGAATAAACTGAAAACCTTAACCTTAAAAATAATTTGTAACCGAGTTATGCATTACCTTTTTTCTTGCGTACATACAGATGCTGGCTAACTGGTACTACATACATTAGATTATCTAGTAGAGAAGACTATTGTTCAGCTTGTACCATATATTCTTGTTGTTTGGTTAGACCCAGTTTCATACAGAGAATCAAGTGCTCACTGATATAGACCAGTTTATTTACACGGTAGATAGCATTGGGTCTAATGAACTGACAGGTGATGAAAGTTCGAGAATTATTCGAAAAAATGTAGCCTATGCGATCTACGGGATCGAAATGAAGAACGAAGACGAAGTATAAAGTTGGACAAACTGGGCTTTAGTGCCGCTGTTGCTGAATTTAAATAGTATAGATGTAGTGCTCAAACGAAAACTTATACAACTTCCTTTTTTATCATAGTCTCAGGTTCTAGTTTTCCAATGTTATTAACCTCTCTATTGATATCTTAAACTAATAACTGATTAATTTTGTTTCCATACCCTTTCTGATAATATTTCATTTTAACTTGTTACCCAAACAGCTTTTCATAATAATCATTATTTGTTTAACGTCTAAGATATTTTCTAATGAATATTTTAATGTCTTACTAATCATATTTACGGGTTTTTTTTGATAAACATATCACTGATCATTAAAGTAAAAATAAATTATGTTTTACGAGTATACAGCTATGAAAATAGATTCATCGAAAAGAGTACTCTCAACTGAACTAATCTTTTTTTGTTTTCACCGTAATACAATGCAAACATGAAGTTCATTACGTAATAATAAAAGAATTATTTACAAGTTGATAGATTTATCGTCCATTTACTAACATAAGAGTTACCTTTAGGAAGTATTTCTCTAATTTCATCAGGAATAGTGTTGATAGTCACAAGAGGTTTATTTTGTTGAGATTGTTCATAATCATTTGTAATAAGAGGTAAATTATCATTTGTAGGCTCCAAAATATATGCACTTTTACGTGTACTATTTTCATTTTTATGTGTCATAAGTATAGGTCCAGAAGATAAATGACGTCTTCTTGTAAAACGTATTTTTGCTTTGTCAATATTATTGATGCCATTGTTTTGATAGTCACTAGGCACATTATTATATGCAACTTGTGTAGAAGGATTATTTCCATCGCATTCATTAGATAAACGTGGTTTTTTAGAAGTGTTATATGATACTGTATCAGACAGAACAACTGGTGATCTGAATCAAACAAGAAATGTAAAAGAAACTTCGAAAAATAAAATTTAAATATCGTTAATTAACGGTTATTTTTACTAATGTTAGTCTTCCTACGATTGAAGAAGAATTAAAAACAGTTTAGTGAAGAAACGTTTCTTTCCGATGACATTATTTACTTAAACTATACAATTAGAGTAATCTATTGTCTCAGGGAATAATCTTTTTCTAGGTGTAAACCTATATTTCCATGTAGCATTAGATCAATCAAAAACATAGTTCTAATCGTCCAATGGAGAACCTGCTTTTAGACGATTAAAAACTTTGAGCTTCAAAGGATCATTATTTCAGGAATTTTATTATCACAGTTATGTCGTTTCACATGTCTGTATCGAACAGCGAGGTAGAGAGAATATATTTTGAGATATTTCTCGGCGTTAGATTTCCATTTGAAGAAGAGTTAGCCAAACAATTAAGAGTCTGCGGGGAATCAAGCTTTCTGACATTTTATTTTATGTGCTAGCCATTGTAGAAAGCGATATTTATATTAAATGTGTGTGCAGAATGAATCGGCATTGTCAGTAGCTGACGACGATGTTTCTGCAAATATCCAGTATAATAATAAATTAGGCAAGCTATTGGTTATGGATGTCAATCCTTCGCTCATCTTCGAATGGTAGGTGGATCGTTCGCCGGAAACAGGTCAATGGCATATAACCAAGGTTTACTATGCGTTGTTTATGAGTGAAGCTCATGGTTCCGTTGTTTGACAGGAGATTAAATGAAGAGCATTCGCCCTTTAATGCTGTTGGGAGCCGCAGACATTTTTATGATTGATATCGTTTACGAAACGTATGAAGAGTGAATGTGTCAACCGGTACGTTTCAACAGTTTCTGAAGGTAAAAAAAAGTGTTTGGTCCATTAATACCATTTTAGACTACAATTGTACGTCAACGTAATTAAACAGGAAAATCCCACCTTTTTCCCTTACCTTGAGAACAACTTGCTGAAGTAGAAAAAAGATATTTTATTGGAAACCTTCGTAGACAATTTAGTAAACGTTAATGATTTCCATAACAGGATAAACCCTTTTCCTCTCAGACTTTTACCGACAGCATTCAGTTAAAAATGTCTTTTACACAGTTGAGTACAAGCAAGATTTCTCACTTAGTGGTCTATTTAAACATGAATAATACTTCATGTGCTTAACTCATTTCACTGTAATTTAGTGATTTCAAGCAACTCCTTTATGCATCCGTCATGTGATCATATGATTTCTTATATTAGCTATTTCCATCTACTTTCATGTGTATTCTGTTTTGCTGATAGATCACCTATCAAAAAAAGTCTCATGTGTTTTGTTAAGTGATTTATTTTTAAAAAAAATATAACATGCAATTAAATATCGTGTATGCATTGAATTCGTTATTACTAGGTTTCTAAGTTGAAATTCATAATGCACAATCATTAACCCTCTTGAATTTATTACTTCTGTACTACTGCACATACAGTTCCCATTGAGCTTATTCAGTTTCTTCAGAATTGAACCACCAGGATAAGAGCTGCTTCATTAGTTAAACAGTTTATATAAGTAAACAAGCATACAACCAATCAAATAAGCCAAATTCTAAAAAGTAGAAAAATTCAAAATTTTGATAACCATAGCATTCCCGTTGGGTTGTTCAGCCATACAATAGTTTTTTAGTAACTTTCATTTTGACATTTCAAATGACGTAATCCTCCTTTTCCAATACACTACTTTATATCCTAATTAAAGTTACGTGACAATCGAGAATTTAAAGGAAGATAATGAGATGGAACTAAATGTGTGAAAGTTAACTGTTCACTTGATTTATATGAGAAAGGTTAATAATAAATTGCTAATTTTGGTTACACAGTCTCATCTTATATATTCTTTAGAATCATCTAAACAGTCAAACGACTGCGTTTGATAGGATCATAAATCAACAAATTGTGTACTGAGGAAGCGTTAGTAATTCATTCTTTCAAGCCTCAGCTCTGTATTCAAAAGCGAAGCGTGCAAGATATCATTCTTTTGTAGCCCCAACACTTGATTTTCATGGTCGGTAATTTGGTTGTTAATACATTCGTTTGGTTTTTTAATTATTCTTTATTATCACTTACACGTTTATAACTTATCCTTCACCCGTTTATAATCGCTAAGGAGGGGACTAACTTTCACACATTTAGTTCCATCTCATTATTAAATTCTCGATTTTTAAGTAACTTTCGTTTTGATATCTGAAATGATGCGATCCTTGTATTTTTTAAGACACTACTTTATATGTTACTTAACAAAAACATATTTACATTACGAAATATAGAAATGTTAATTCCTATAAATTAACTTATATTTATATATGGCTTAATGCCTATAAAAGATAAACTGTGTATCTAGCTACTGTTTATTTTTGTGTGCTACGCCAATCAATTAACAAGTAGGGTATTCGTTGACCTTACGATATATTCATACTTTCACTATTACATGTACTACTATTTACGGTTTTTATTTTCCTAATTCTTTTCTTGGTGAGACTATAATTTATGGACGACCTTTGAGCGGTGCTAAAGTGATCTTGAGATTGTCTGCCTATTAACTAGGACTAAATGAGGGTTATAAAGCAGTGTGAGGAATTAGAATTAAGATTTACAGTTGATGGTTAGGGTTACAAACTACATTTAGGGTTTTCATCACGAACTGACATCAGTTAAAACGCCAAAACGCTGTTTAGTTAAATGGGTGGGTGAATTTCGCGCCTAAATCTAAGACCTGTTATCTTATATGTGAATGGTTCATCCATAAATTGTAGTTTTGCCTTGACATTACCTTATGAAAGGAACTGAGGTAACTTTAGTATACATATTTAAGAACCATTAAATTAATTAGGTTACCATTTAAACATCGATCATTTTTATTTCACTCTGTATTTGTTTTGATCTTGTATGAAATACTAACCATAAAACTGTAATTATTATAAATGATCCCTAAAAACAAATAATGAGTCGGCAGATTGTGTACTGTTTTAATATAATTTAGAAAAAAAGGTGTGGACGTGTAAACTGTGAACAAGCAGCTGACCATTGTATGAAATTCAGAGATATTCATAGGTGATGTTTATAACGTCATTCATCTCATACTAGATGTATTAGTGAGTGCACGTGTATGCATACTGAGTCTTAGTGATTAGTATTTATACTTCTAAACTGACTTTGTGTAATACTGACAATATATATATGGTGGCTGTAATCAATTATTGTTATACAAAATCAAATGCATTACCTTTAACTTATTCGGCTATCGACGGACCTTCTATAAAACTGATATATTTACACAAATCGATCATTGAGTAGTGAACAATATAATACTTCTCTAATCCTTAGTGTTGACAGAATTCTGTCGTTATCATTCAATCTTAAAGAGTTAGGAGTAAAAGGCAGATAACTCTGAATCCAATTTTTACACACATGATGTCGGTCAGTCAGCTACAACGTAGGACCAGGCACATTTATACATCGGTCGAAGTTGCCATACCTCATTAACACAACAAGATAAACACCGGATTCATAAAAGTAGTTAATCAAGTGATGGTAATATATAAAAGAAAGATTGAATATAAGGATATAGTACAGGAAGAAAAAATTAGTTCGTAGAAAGAAAGATATGAAGCGATTTTAGTCTCACAGTTTAAGGGAAGACAGAGAGTATATACATCCACGCCATCGTGATCGATTCTGAGTCATGTCACCCACAGTCTACAACCACTGGTTACGATGTTGAATTAGTTGGACTAGTGTTTAGTATATACATATGATTAATATAATCACTTCCTTTAGATTTTTTTGAATCTACAAACTTTAATTTTCATGGAAAGGACTTTAAGCCAAGATGTATATTTAACATGTTTAGCGCGAATGAAAAAGATATTCATTTAATGATCAATAGGTCAGTGGAAATAGATCGAGTCTCAACCTCTAATCCCATAGGATACAATTACATTATAGACAGAATTAATCTAGAATCCTATGGTCTACATTGTTTCCAACTTCTAGTGAGAGGTCATTACTGGTGGAGTTTAGCCATATCGGGGGAAGAGATATTCATCATTGATGGAACTCGGTAGGCTTTTTAATTTGAATTGACTGAAATCGAAAATGTGAACCAATGAATTTTTACTTAGTGATATTAAGATTAAGCGACTGTTGTGAGAGCTGAAGTTTGTTTGTTACTTCAAATCAGAAATTTATGTGGACAATTAAAAGTATTTTTAAAAAACACACGTAAAAAGTGAAATCTGAGAAGCCATAAATTCATCAGTATGCAGACGTCCAAGTAGATAAAACTATCTTTAGTGAATAAATTAACTGAAAGTAATGATAAGTACATTCACTCATAATACTAATGTCAAAACACAATAATACCATTTGTTAATGCCCATAAACACACTATGTGCATGATAATTACTGACTATATTGAAATGTCAACACTTATTTATACAAAACATTACATAGTTTTGAAACAAGATTACAACGACCTAATGTAACAAAAATCAACGTAAAATAAACAAATCAATAACGGATTTTTCAAGAAACAGGACAGGGTTCATTTGAAATAAACTCGTAACTTAACGAAACAAATCAATATCAGGAATATACAAATTAAATAATAATAATAATAATAATAATAATAATAATAATAATAATAATAATAATAATAATAATAATAATAATAATAATAATTGCTATTCATGATTCAATAACAACAAATTTCTAACTATAGTTATTAAATAAAGTTCGATTTTCATTGTTTTACAATTAACAGTTGATGTAAAAAATGAAGATAGATACAACCCATTGGTTTTTAGTCAACGACAATTACTTTTCGTGATAATAATTCGATAGTAATCATATGACCACAGTTCACACTTAATCAATAGTTTTACGTATGTTACATAAATGTCCATGTTTATTCAGTTATCACGTTAAGGTTATAAGAGTGAACTAATTTCCCCGACCAATAATAAACAAAGTTTCATCAGTATTACTATTTTTTAAATCAATACAAATAGTTTATATAAATAATGATTCCTCTGCGAATCAACTAACTGTTACTAAGAGGAACAGACAGGTAAGTAATAACTGTGGCATTTGAAAATAGTTGACATGTCATTTGGATATGAGTAGTTTGCTATGAATTGGTTACTGAGTTCTAGTGTATATCACATTTTCTAGTTTTCAGTCGAAACGAATTAGAAAAACTGATAAGCTAACTGAATTTAAGTTTTAATATTTAAAGGAGTGATAAAAAATGGCAGATTTCGAAGAGAATTCATAAGTAAATATAATGCTACAAACAAATATTTTACCTCGAAGAGCTACGTTTCCTGAGGTAGGAGCAGGTTGGAATTAGGCTAAAGGCGATCAAACCAAAAAATAGCATTAGTTCATGAAGTTATTGCTTATCAGGTTGAGACAACCGAGTAAAAGTCCATGCAGTTATGGTGATCATTGGTTAGGGAAATTGAGTGACATGGTTCAGAATTAGTCGCAATGAGTCAAGTGTACTTATTTTTTATCTTCTCTCCAACCCAAATTTTCAAAAGTATTGTTTACCTTTTGTTACATGAACTAATTCTTTCTTATTGAATTGTTTTCCTCATGTTTAATTTGTTTTAATACTACTGCTACTAATACGTTGTTATTCATTTTAACAATTCTATTTCACTGTACTGATGCAGTGCGTCCACATCGATGGATACATATAAGTAGTAAATTCTATATTACTTAGAGCTGAATCCTACAGAAATGTATTCACAAATCCCCATTAGAAGGTCAGACTGTGACGATATATTTGGAAAAAATGTTTTAGTTCCTTTAAGATTGTAAATAAGTTATATTGACTACAATAAAAACGTAAGGAACACATTTTATATATTCATAAAATTGCTACCGAATGAGTAATTTTTTTTGGTTTAAACGCAATATATTGCGCAAGTTAGAAACGTCAAGTGATTTAAACTACATAATTATGAGTATTATGAAGTGATAACCAACATTAAATGATAATTTCCAAAGATTTAGTTCGCAAATCCTATGGTCAACATTTTTAATTAGAGAAATATCCTAAACATCATTCCATGCCATTATTAGTGGATAATTGTATCATCACTCTAACACTGATTAAACTTTGCAAATTCTCTTAAATATCATGAAATTTGAAATAATTATTAAAGAAATTATTAACGAAATTTCTTTTCAACTAATCGAAAAGAAATTTCGTCGCTCAATTCGTTCCTTCTTCATTTACCAAATGTCAAAATAATTATTAATTTGTAGAATATTTTAATACTTAACTCCTAGTTCTTAAGAACAATATTTCAACAGAAAGAAACTAACAACTAAAGATTCACAACTGAATTCATAAAAAAACCAAAGTAAAATTAAGCGTAATATTTGGAACACTGGTTTACCGATTAAATTGCTCGATTTTGTTAACTAGTAGGTTACAGTTTCTAAGCTCAAGCACAAATATGATTGGCTGAATAGGTGGCCTGCTTGAATATCTGGGCTACTTGATCCGGCCATCTAGATAATTAAACAAGTTATCTGCTTTTTGTTTGTTTTAACACATCATTATGCCTACTAATTGCATAACCTATTCATGCACGTTTATGAAAAGTTTACGATCATTCACTGTATAAGTTACAAAAAAGTACAATCAGAGACATCGTGATGGCTGACAATATGCAATTAAAAGAGTGAACATTATTCAGATGTCAATTCGTGAACTGCTAACATCTAACTCATTCAATATTTGTCAACAGGATCGATCAAGAAACAAGAAAAGAAAACTTGTTGAAATACTTTGTGCTGAGAATTCCATATTGTACCAAAAAATCTAATATTGAGTAAAACCAATAATAATAATAATAATAATAATAATAATAATAATAATAATAATAATAATAATAATAATAATAATAATAATAAAAGTATGTAGCTAGTTAGATAGTAGGTGTCACTAACGCCTTAATGTAAACAATTTGTATTAGATCAATGAACTGCATTAACCTAATTATTATTTAGACGAAATACTACACCCTTTTAAATTATATAAACAACTAAGACTTTTCAAGACATAAATGAATGATAGATGAAAGAGTAACAAAATTAGGTCAAAAATTTTGTTAAATATTTTGTATTATGAACTTTATCGGAAGAGCATATATATATAATGTAACATTATATAACATATTTCGTTATCGTAATGTTGTTCTGATCACCCGTTTAACAAAGTTACACGAATACAATGATAAATAGACCTATCTGTCAATAATATCCACACAGTGAGTCGTTGGAAAAGACTGAATATGTCCGACAGGAAGTCGACGGTTATCAGTCTTATATTATTCATGCAGTCTTCATAACTTATAACAAGAAGTCTGATTCACTGGAAATAACTGTTTCTGTTAATGCACTGTCTCCTTAAACGGCTCTAAACAATTTCAAATTTCCTCAGAGTTTTCCTCAAGTTTTAGATTAATCCATGTAGTTGTTGAACACAATGGACGAAACGTAACACAAATCTTATTAGGCCTAAAGTCTTTTAGGGATGCTAGGTCCCCAGAAATCACTCGGTAAAGTTTGTGCCAAAAGCGCCCATTATTACATTCAATTCGCTTCCCATCTGGAAGGACTTTAAATGTTATTGGTTGGTTTTCTCATTTAGTACGCTATTTTGTGACGCTTCTCAAGGACATTCCTGTATTGTATAAATTACGCATGAGTTTGCTATCCGTTTGCTATCCATTCTTCCGGGCTGCTTGAGGAATTATATAATGACCCAACCGAGTCTGGTCTTCTTTCCCTAGTTAGCAGGGCTGGAACGCAGAGGAATATCTTAGCTTTGTTCTGTTATTGGGTCCCTGGTTTTGTTTCGTTCGCTGGTCAAAGGTGATATAATATCGCGAACATAACACAACCCAATTACCAGGTTTTCTTGAATCTTCTACGTATTATTAGAAAAGATAATGGTCTAAAAACTGAGTAACAGTGCGTAAGTTTAAACATTTCGTTAGTGTCGAACCTATGATGTGAATTTTATTGATTATGTCATTATAGAGACTATATCGTACAGAGTAGGAGTTAGTAAACTGACCAAACACACAAACACTTTAAGCTAATTGATTTTTAGACGAAAGATTTAAACATTTAATGACAAGTATAACTTATTAGCACCACAGTATCTTTTAAACGTACTTTAATACTTTTGATAAACAACCAGTTGACCACTCTAATTGTTTATTAATCCGCATCTTAGAGTTGTGCTGAACTACAGAATCCAGATTGTTGTGGTTATTGGATAAGGATTCCGGACATTTATCAAGCATGGAATCATTATGTATGGTAGGTGGGATAATCGGTTTTTCTGACATTTGTTTTATATCCGTGTTGATAGGAGTTGAAGACAATTTCTTACGTGAATTAATTGGAACTGGTAATGAAAACCCAGGAAACACATCAGGCATCGGTTTGAATGGATGAATAAATGCATTGGCACCTTGTTGATGAGCCCAAACTAATATATGATTTGATGCACAATGTGGTATAAGTTGACGCCATATGCCATAGAGACGATCCTCTACAGAAATATTTGACTGAAATACAAGTGAAACTCGATTGAAATAAAAATGGAAAGTAATGTGAATTGTCAGTCATATATACTATACTATACTATACTATACACGATCATACAGGAAAATATAGTTACTTTCCATCGAGATAATAATTATTAAAAGACTGTAAGCAAAGAAATACACCGGATTTAAAGACAGTAACAAGGTTGCTAAGTATAATAAAGCTTTAATGAAGTCAAGGAACACTGGAATCGGGATGTGATAAAAATATACTTTGAAGAGAGGCCACACCAAGGACTGATTTCTAAATAAAACAGCTGATAATATATATGCACAATATCACCAATTACAATTAATTGGAAAAACACGAAGGTAGCTACTTTGCTGAGCTAAATTTTAAGCTGTTTGATTTCTTTCTCGATCGCTGCTTAATGTAAGAAATGTCTCATTAATGTTGGAATTCTCAACATTAGTTTACTCGCGTACCAAAAAGGGACCACATAGTACAATCTAAGTAATTTGTTAAGGTTAACTACTGTTTGGGTTATATTAATGACAATATGTAAATTTAACAAAAATTATTTGAATTTTTTTAACAATGACCTAATGACATATAGTTATTCTAATCCAATTCATTAGAGTTAATATTAAAAAATATTCTCGCTTTAATTGGTAAAATTTTCTTATCATCTCTTAGCTAACCTAAGTATGACAAAATATTTTCGTGTTATATCACTGCCTATTAATCAAGGTTCTTATAATGTTAAAAAAGGAAAAAGAAATCATGGTACCACATCGAATGGATGAATATTCTTAAGACAACAAACTGAAGATGATGATGATAAACAACGCAGGCTTTTTTCTTTCTGTAGTGAACAAAGATAGGGTAGGTAGACCGAAAGAATACGCACGTAAAAAGTATGTAAACATTGAAAAAAATAGACGATATGAAAAGGACTTTATTTTACTGAACATTACCGTTCCAGCAAAGAAATACATCATGATAATTTTGACAAGTAAATGGTGATAAAATAATGGAAGGTAAACAATTTAGGCTATTATTTTTTACCATAAATGGGTAGAACTATACTAATTGTATAATGAGACTTTTATATAAATACGTGATAATCAAATTGAATTCATGAATTCAACTGACTCATGATCTCAACTATTGAAATTACTACAATCTTCACAAAACCCCTTCTGATACTAATCAAAATATGCTCACTAGTGCCTGGCTTCAAGAGGTATTTACTGGAGTTCTAATGAGAAGCGCTGACCAGTGGAGTTCAACCGGGTCTGTCATGAGAGAGTAACTCACTAAAGACAATAGTGGATGTGTCGCTCAATTTCGTGGATTAGTTGAAATTAGACATTAACACCGTTGGATGCCGACCGGATCAGTGGTCTAGTAGTTAAGTGCTCGCGCTCAAGACTGATAGGTCCTGGTTTTGGATCCCGAAAGGTGGGACGCACACTGCTGAGGAGTCCCACAGTGGGATGAAACGGCCGTCCAGTGCTTCCAGGTTTTCAATTGTGATGATCCAACATCAATTGGTTCAAGATCTCAATCAAAAAAACTTAATAATCTCCACAACTCCTATACTAGTAAAATTAGTAAGACATAATAAGGTGGGATGAATGAGAAGTAAATGAATCATGTATTGTGCAGATTAATAATGTTTAACCAATGATTAATAATAATAATAATAATAATAATAATAATAATAATAATAATAATAATAATAATAATAATAAGAAGAAGAAGAAGAAGAAGAAGAAGAAGAAGAAGAAGAAGAAGAAGAACAAGAAGAAGAAGAAGAATACATATTAGTCTTTACTAAGTGTTTACATGAAATTTAAGAAAAAACGGTAGAAGTTAAACGGATGGCGTTTAACTTTAAACTACAAGGTTGCAGCTTTGAGTGCTGTTCCACTTTGATTTGGGCAATCGATTAGTATCAATAACCTTTACATATAAATTGTGGTTCAGAACCAAGTACACAAGTTTCTGATTGACAGACGGGTAGCATTCTATTTACAATCCAACAACAGACCCCTTGAATTAGTGAACGTAATTCAATGAAGATTATTTTTTACGACTGATTCTATCGAACAGTATTTATTTATTTTAACACATAGATATTGGTACAAGGAAGCACCAAATACATATGCGCCACACAAATCTCATTTGATATGTGTGAGGGCTGTGATACTGCCCGGGTGCCCAAACCAAAGTAGGTGGTTTTATTAGGGGGCCACTCCTTGAGCCTTCGACCTGAACGTCTGATCCACAAGGCAGTGGAGCATCGTGAGGAGATGCAGTCCCATGGCAGTCGGTGACCAACAATTAGTTCATACGCCATTTGTTCCCGCAGAATACTGGAGCCCATGTGCACCATTGGTTTGGAATCCAGTTAAAGCGCCGGACATTCGCTTTTCGTCCTCTTATTTCCGTAAACAACACTCTCGCCACGAGAAGGCAGTGAGTAGGACTTCCCTGACAGAGGCTGTATACGCGTGGCCATGTGAGAGCATTTCGATAGGGAGGGCGAACTCTCCCCACTCTCGGCCGTACCAGGGCATTGGGGGCATCGCACAGTAAGGTAAAATTGAACTTATAACTGTAAGAAACGTATTTAAAATGTGTGGGATTTTTGAACAAGTTTCTAATAATACGATAATAAGACTATAGCTTAACCTTTTACAATGTAGCATGAATAAAGATCACATCATTTGGTGACTTTAACCAAACAATCACTTAAAATAGAGAAAAGCACCATTAGTAAAAATCACACCATCAAGCATACCACTATTGGATCATTGTTTAATGAACCACCCTTTGGAAAATTTCGGTCTTTATCTTCAATGGAGTATGATGGTATATCAGATGTTGTTGGTAGTGTCGTTGTTGTTGATGCTGTTGGCATTGATGTTGCGGGAAAATGACAGATGATTGAAGATTTTTTAACAGCAGTAATATTATTTCCGGAATTTATCACGCAAGTTGAATTTTCAACAAATGATTGACAGTTAGATGAGTTAAGTGAATTCATATCATCTGAAACAATATTTCTACCTTGTGGAACCTATAATTTTAATGAGTAAACATAAAGGGAATTATTTCTTTATCCCATCGTTGATAATGATATGATAGTGAATGATGAATACTTATATAATGACATACCTTTTTATCACAGACTGATGTCAGGCAGTGAAGACCAATGAAAACCAGAGATACCTGTTTCATCCTAGTATGGAATTCCTTAGGAAAGTATACCCACGAACCCCCCAATGATTGGAATCATGACCTTCAGATCTCAAGGCGAGGTCTCTGACTTTAAACCGTTGAGTTAGAATCAATAATAGTCCCCATTTACAGTCTCGATTAATTTACTACATAGTGCGATCGTCCTCTGGTGTCATTAACAGTTCACCAACTGATGTCATTCCGTGATCGCAAGACTTTCCGCACAATCCGCCCAACTAAATGTTTATCCGTAAAATTTATTTCCATTAGTAGGATGTTTAAAGAAATACGTTATACTTCAAGTAGATTATGGATTAAAAGTTTAATGGTCAAATCCATATATCATACAATTAACAGTAACATATACTGTATTATCAAAAACATATTAAGGAAAACCACATATAAAAACAGATAGTTAAAAAAAGTGTAAGTTTCTTTGTGCACAGTGATGACAATCATGACATTCTTGAAGACCAAGTAGTGAAGATCGTATTTGAAAACAGAGAATTATGTAAAGACGACAAATCAATTGATGTGATCAGATTGTGTGGGAGGCGAATTCATAAACATACCTGTAGTGAACGAGAACTCAGATGAGGAAGACCAGTTTATTGTTTGATGCAAAATTACAGTACTTTCGTAAAATATGAAAACCATACTTTAAATACATTGTTTGCACATCTTCCTTCAGTTGTCCTTTACATGCATCCTGATTTCTTCAAATCCGTTATTACTACTAATCTCTGTTTGAATTCCTGTTCTCTTCAATTCGATCTTCTCAAACTTCTCCCAGGTCTTCCACTTCTGATTGGTGTTACATACTACTTATATCTGTCAACATAAGTAGAACACATCATATATATATTCTTGAGTTTTAATTGATATCAGTGGTGAACAGGACCTCGTCTCCCCTCATATCTCGAAAAAACAATGTCTCACTTTTTACTAAAGCTCTTTACTTTGGGAATTTGTTTTAATTGTCTATGAAGTTTTTAAAATCACTTCTTAATAATCCAATTTACTTTTACTTCCTTTCAATGTCGCCTTGACTTGATACTATGAAAGCTTAATTAATTAGATTCATTAGAAAAAAGGTCAGCATAAAACATAAAATATTATTCTTTCCCCACCTCAAGTAGTTAAATCAAGGAATACTAACTAACTAAACGAAATGGACATTCTAAATTATATAAATCCAGTAGAAATATCAATTATAAGAAACATAGCCCATGAGCGATCGACTTCTTTAACACGTGAATCAATTTTTCGCATATATATTAACAAAAAAACAGAATAATTTAGAAATACCTGAAACAAATACTGGAAAAGCAAAGTTATTAATCAACTGGTAAAACTTATTATTGAGCTTGATAAACATTTTCATTGTTTTTTCGATACAAAAAACGCACAATAATTAATGTAAATATCTGTTAACTATGTAAATCATTTGTAAGTAGTATTCGTCACAGACTGATCATTGATAATCGGGTATTACATGATGACTGTCTAGTTCTAGTAACTTTTCAGGAGTATATATCTACGACCACATAGGGGGTCAGACTTAGAATCTTAAGCCCTCACAGAGAACGCTTAACCCGCAGAACCACTAGATCGACAGAGCACGACCAACATTAGGGACAAACGTTAAACTTCTGAAATATCTGAACTTTACAGGTTACAACTTTTGACTCAAACTTCAAGAAAGCCTTGAAGGAAATCGCTAGTGAATTGCCCATTACAGTTTATTCGAAGGAGGTTAGTGGAAACATGTTTAATTTGTAAGTAGTATTTGTCAAAGATTGATTTTATTTGTTAACGAGTGTCACTACCTCTACTAGTCTGGTATTTTCTCTAACAGTTCCATGTCGCTATGCTAATGAGGTATGGTAATTTGAAAAGATGTACATGTACCAGATCCTACACGGCGATTGAATGACTGACTGTTAACGAGTCCCGTACTAAGATGAAACAATTTTTCAGTGTTATCTGGTTCTAAATGGTACTTCAAAAGAGACTAATCTGTGGCGAATACTTCCAACAAACTGAATAGATCACCAAAAGACCCTTATAGATCAACTAAGTAGGTAAGTCCAGAAAATTTTATATCCTTTTGTTGATTTTCGTACACAAGGCAAGAAACAATAACAAAAGAGGAAGATAGCATGTATTTAAATAATTGATTTCACAGTTGTTTAATAATCTTGTAAATTGGTTTTACGTCAGTACAAGACAGGTATAAAACACAATCCCATAAAGAAAACAAAAAATCCACTGAAGATCCATAGAAAATGACGAGATATTATACTGACAAGTGTCGAAAATTTTCCATGAGATCAACTCACATATATATTTCGCGAGAAGTTGATCTACATGGTGACGATTATATTTTTGACATAATATCGTAAGTAAATCAAGTGTTTTGTGTATTAAATCCTCGATTTAATGACTCAGGTAAAGCATCGGATTGATACCGTACGGTACTATCGAGCGCTAAAGAGCGAGTTACCATGATATAGAATGGAAAGTTGAAATCTGGTTAGTGTTTTTCCGATAATGTTTCACTGATTATAGCTTTCAAGAACTAAATTCCCATTATGCAAGATAAAAAGATGAAAAAGGTTTTCCTTACATTTCAAAATGAGATAATCGACCTGTCAATTTAATCAGAACACAGAGGAAAAAAATTCTTACGTCGGTGGATTTGATGAATGAAGTTCGCTCTGTTGAAACTCTACTCTTAAATAACGAAATAGATATTGAAAATCAAGAATTCAAAATATGTTGACAAAATTTTATATAGATGTAATAAGAAAGTATGTATCGCGAAGGATACAAACCTAGGTTCAAGTTGACTGAAAAACGATTTCTTGTTTGTAAATTTCTCTAGTACCGATCGAATTTTATTGATCAAGATGTTATATAGTCACAGATCTAATTAATTTGATATTGAGTGAACTGTCCTTTGGTATATGGTGGTAGTTGAAAGGGATCAACAAGAAACATTAAACCAAGGTTTCCTGCAAATCATGGCTGGTCTTTAATTTGAAATCTTAAGGGGAATGCCCCTCCCGACAGTCACCAGCTACCTAAGATAATGTAGCTACTTTGAAATTCTTTGGAAACTTTTTCGCTTATCAGGAAGTATAACAAAGCATATTATCACATACCTAATCTAATGCGCCCACTTAAACGGTTACACTATCAAATTATCTTAGTGAACTAAGGTCATTAAAATTTTGATTCAGCAAAAAGTATTGTAGATAGAAAATATATTTAGACTAGTAATTTTGTAGTTTTTCTTTAAATATAAGCGAGAATGAAATATTATCCGATTATACAGAACATTTAAGTTTAGAGTCGTTTTATGTCTGTTATTTTATGAAGACAGTAAAAATGTCTGCTTTAGTTGTTATAATTATTGTATGTAAAAAGTACCTTGAGTTAAAAGTTGCCGCAATATCCATTGAATTAATACGAAATGAAGGAAGAATACATTGTATGCTGTACGGAAAAATGTGTCACACATAAAAGGTACAATACTCAATTAGAAGAATAAGCAGAGCACAGAAATTTCTCTCCAATTAGTCTTTCATTGTGGCTCTACACTAATATATATATATATATATATATATATATATATATATATATATATATATATATATAACAATGAAGTGATGCTCATCGAGTAGATCATATATAAGTATATTAGTGTAGAACCGTGATGACAAACTAATTGGAAAGAAGTTTTTCTCGTTCTATTCATTCTTTTTACTGTGTCAAAGTGGGAACTTTCGCTAATCAGACAAAAATAGACAAATACATAACTATTGTAACTTGTCTTAATCATAAGACTTTCACTATTTAATCCACAGATTTTTAAAATTTCTAGATAAAACTTTATATGGATCATAGTTGATCAATCATATATCAGGAAGCTGAATTAAATTCTAGTCATGCCTCCCTTAAGTGATTTAAATTTCGAAATTTTTTGGAATTAAACTGTCAAATATATACTATAAAGCGATTAGTGTAAAATCACTAAATGATGATTAAAATACTCACCTGTATCAAATTCTTAAGAGCGATACTATTAGATGGAACTAAAAACACATGTTTTTGTGACTGTGATTCGTAGTTCAGTGAATGAGTAGCATTTAACATTGAGGATGATGAAGGTGCGTTAACTGTCGAACCAATAGATTTTACATGCGTATTCAACGTCAAATCAGTAGTCGATGAAGTTAAACAAGTTTCATTCGTCGAACAAATTGAATTCACGCAGCAAACAGGTGTTTTCTGTAGGTTAGAATTTGTTCGCATAGTTGAACTGGATGTAGAATTCGATCCAGTGAGTAAACATGATAAAGCTGATGATGATGACGGTGTTCTTGTCAAACACGATCGAAATAACTGTTTGGATTCTTGTTCAGTAGATGATTTACATGGTACAAAGAGTATTGGATTTTCTAAACTTTTTAAGAACAAAAAATTCCATAAAATATACAAGGAAATATATGAATGTGGCCAACGTATGGAGAAACTGTCTGGTATTTTGCTCAAACATAAAAGGTGTAGCTTGATTAGGATTTCATTAACTTAATTTTCGGGCGAAAGAATATTCAGTAAAACAATGACAAGAAAAAACTATGTACTTCAAGGAACAAAATAAACAATAAAGCATAGAATTTAAAATAGACGTTCTACACAAGGTATCGTTTTACTGGAAAGACAAATATCAATTTCAAGCTAGGTGGTTATAGAAAAGAAAGATATGTTTATTTTATTGTTTGAAATTACAGAATGACTTGGTCAGATAACCAATGAAAACCAGGAATCGCTAGAAAGCTGTTTCGTTCAGATATGGGACTCCTCAGAGGTGCGAATCTATGACTCTACCAGGAGTAGAGAAGAATGAAGGTTTCCAGGTGTGAGTAGCTGATTCTCTGATAATACATAAGTATTTAATTTGCACCTCATTCTAACGAACTAATCATAATTCAAACAATAATTTAAAGAATTTCTTTGACATGAGCTCAAAAGATATTCAAAATAAAGATGAAGATTTGGTTACAATAGGATTTTGAGAATGGCTATCAACTAAATAAAATAGGCCAAAAGCCTGACAGATGAAATGGTCTACCTTCTTCACAGATTCGAATACTCACTGCACTTGAACTGATGAACTTATGTTTATGTTCCGGTAAAAAAATAGCTAGTATTGGATTTTAAGAAGCAGAAAGATGACTTAGAAAACATAAGTTAGATGATAATCTTCAATCAGGAAAAAAATGGATAAATTTGACACCTTTGTTATAGTGTCTATAACTTATGCAACTGATAAAAAATGATCATGTATACATCGGATTCTTTAGTAATACAAAAGTGACAATAACTTTATTTCGACAAATACAGTTTTTAACGTACTTTGAATCGAAAGCAACTGGATGGTGAGACTTGCTGTCAAGCGCAGGTAATATTAACTTATTTGAATGATCAGGTAAAGTAAAATAGATTGGTACATCATGATTATTGTCATGAACAGGTGACTTAAGATTATGATCAATACGTACACATTCTGTAACATTGAATAATGGACAAGAAGGATTAGGAAATTTTTCCATAGCATCCATTTCTGCTTCACTTGGGACATGTTCGTTTGCATTGATAATAGCTATTGCATAACCTTGTTCATGTGCTTTTTTGACTAAAGATATTTGACTGCCAGACTGTAGACCATGTTGAGGATGTAATAGAAGACGAGGAGCCCAAACGCCAGCCTGAGCAATTCCACCCCCTTGTAACAAAATAATGATGGGACCTTTGTGGGTAAAAAAATTTTTAGAATGTAAAACTCTCATACAGTGAGTAGGATGTCCAGGAATCTGTTGAATTTTTTAAAAGAAAAATAGAATAATTATAAAAAGGTAGTTAATGGGATAGACTACTTATAAGTAACCAAGAATTTATTGCACAATTTTATTGGTTGTAAACTAGCAACGTGATTCTGATGATGCGATTATATTGAACTACGTATCTTTTGTTCCTCTACGTGTTTTATATTGACTATAGTTGCTGGTATTATTATAAGTATCTCCTAAGAGTTTGCAACCTAAGCTGAACCATAGTTTATAAAAATCCATTTACTGAATCAAATCTTTGTGGTTGAATATTTTATTTTTATTTATTTATTTCAACATAGATAATTATACAAGGAGTGTAAAATGTGATTGATAGACGAACCCACCAATAATAAGGGAAACGCCCACCACCACATCAACTCCTTTTGACCTTGTACGACTGTATCTCTTCATTAACCAATCACAGTTTAATGTTCATTGTAAAACAATTTTTGGCTTGTTGACTCATTTTTCCTATTCTCTAGCCACTGTTCGGTATGTTATTTGTCTCTGTTTTTCCCTGTATTAATAGACCGTACTGTTTGTTTGTACACTAACGATGTAAATTTATGTTTTAGAAAAAGATAAAGTTTATATAGCCAAATAACTTACTTGTTCTGACTTTGACCAAACCAAGACTCTGTACTCGACAGTCTAGAGATTATCTTAGAGTTGAATCTGTACGAAATTGCTTCCTACAAAGTTTCGAACAGTACATTCGATAAACCTACTGAAATGACTTCCAATAAACACTACGATTCCGATGAGATTCCAGAATTGTCACCACATCATTCAGGAGTTTATGATGAGGATCAACTTGGAAAGAACGAACTCAAAAACAACAGCATGATAGAACTAGAGATAGCTAGGTTGCGCATAACCCAGTTAGAAAAGGAAATTGAACTAGAAAAGTTACGCTGCCGGAGATGTGAAGGTTCCGGCCAATCAGTAAGCAACAGTGAGAATACAATATTAAAAAATCTGTATTTACCAAAAAGAGAAGTCATAAGGTTTGATGGTACACCGACAAATTATTGGAATTTCATTAGAAATTTCGAAGAATGCATTGGGAGTGAGAATATTGGATTTAGAGCTAAGCTAAATTACTTGATTCAATATTGTGACGGAGAAGCGAAAGCCGCTATCCTTCATTGTACTATACTAGAACCAGAGATAGGTTACCATCAAGCCCTAAAGCTTTTAGAAGAAACGTTTGGCCAAAAACACGTCGTAGCACGCACGTTTATCGATAATTTGTTAAACTTTCCCAATATAAGGAGAAATCAACCAGATGGTTTGAGAAGACTATCTCGAGAAATGCAAGCATGTAGTTTGACTCTCGAACAGATGAATTACGTTTCTGATTTGAACTCTTCTAGAACTATTGAAACTATGGTTCTGAAATTACCAACGCACATTCAACAACAGTGGCTAAAGGTAGCTTATAAGATTATCAGAGGAGGCAGAGAGCCTCTGTTTACCGATCTTGTTGAGTTTGTAAAGGAGCAAGCTGATATAGCTAATACTAGATACGGCCTACTCGTCAACCGCGGTAGTAATAGTGACAATAGAGATGTTGGCGTTTTAAAGAGGAAAATTAGTACAGATTACAATGCAGCAAGAATATCTTATGCGAGTGCTAGTGATGATAATGCTCTCTTACGCAGTTCATCTTGTTTGGAGTGCTCCAGTAATCATTCTTTAGATCAATGTCAGAAATTTAAAGACAAGAATGTTAGAGAAAGGAAGGAATTCGTTATTAGACACAAGTTGTGTAATGTATGCCTGAAGGCAAACCACGTAGCAAAAAACTGTCGATCGCCGAGGTCGTGTGCTGTCGAAGGGTGTGGCTGGAGACACCATACCCTGTTACATGAGTTGCGGGAAGAACCAAGGAATACTAATATTGATGCACACATCAACACCCAGCTATGTACGGAGAAAAGTGTTGAGAGTGTGCAGAAACAAGCAGCATTCGCAATAGTGCCTGTATTGGTAAGAAATGGAGAAAAGGTAGCACAGACTTGCGCCTTCTTAGATAAAGGGTCGGATGCCTCTCTTATTACAGAAGATCTAGCTAAAAGGTTGAATTTAGAAGGAGAGCCTAAGACGATTTCGTTGAAAACGTTGGATAACCATTCCACAATTCAGTGTAAAGAGGTTCAACTAGAGGTTTCATCCTTATACTCGTCTTCGTCATTTAGAATCCCAAACGTATGGACAGTCGAGAGATTACCTATGTTGCGCAGGACGGTACCAACGACGTCTCAAATGAAATCCTGGACGCATTTAAAAGACATAAGTTTTCCTAGAGTAGAGGATGAGAATGTCGAACTGTTGATCGGGTGCAATGCACCGAGTGTACACGAAATGAAAGAGGTAAGAACTGGAAAGCCGAATGAACCATTCGCCATGAAGACTCTGTTAGGTTGGACGCTGTTCGGTTCCTATGGGGAACCCTGTAAAAGCAATCGTGTACTCAATCACCTCTCAGCTAAAGAGGAATTAGAGGATAAGTTTGAACAATCGTATTCAACTGAATTCAAAGACCGACTTAGTCGTACTTCATCGATGTCTGTGGAGGATCGTATAGCATCATCAGAATCTGCATATGGTGTCGCGGGGTATACTCATTCCGAAGATGTCTCGCGTCAAGTTCATTGTTCGTTTTTATTAACTAAGTATAAGGTTGTTAAGCCAAAAACTGAAGCATCATCTGCTAATAAATCCAAATCAACTCTAAGAAAGCTTAAGGGAAAGGACATCAAACTGAAAGTGAAGACTACGAAAAAGCCGAAGACCACTGTAACGAAGAAGCCAGTAACTAAGACCCTGAAGAAGCAGGTAGCACATATTCGCCGTGGTATCGAGGATGGTGTTGAGAAAGGCGCCCTTGTACGAGTTGCGAACAAGAGTAAGGGTGCATCTGGTAGTTCTATAGGATCCAATGCTATTCTTAGACAGATCATGTGTAGTTGGAATTAGAATAAGACAGTAAATGCCCTTTTAGAGAGAGGTTGTGAATGGCGCTTTAAACTTCCGAGGTCTAGTCAACGAGACGGTGTATGGGGACGCATCATAAAGTCGATAAGAAGAATTCTGCGATCACTATTGTTTCAGAAGGTATTGATGGATGAGGCTTCGAGAGACTTAGTGTTATTAAACAATGTTGGCTCACTGAGAAGTCTATGGTCCAAAGCTATTGTCGAACAAGTAAGCTATGGCTTTGACGGACGAGTTGGTACGGCAAAATTGAGAACCTCAAACGAAGAAACTGCTCGGGACGTACGACGCTTATGTCTACTAGAAGGAGCCGGCTGTCTGACGGCGACGACGACCCTGGACAACGGACGTGGTGCGCGTTTCGGGGGGAGTGTAAAATGCAATTGATAGACAAACCCACCAATAATAAGGGAAACGCCCACCACCACATCAACTCCTTTTGACCTTGTACGACTGTATCTCTTTATTAACCAATCACAGTTTAATGTTCATTGTAAAACAATTTTTGGCTTGTTGACTCATTTTTCCTATTCTCTAGCTACTGTTCGGTATGTTATTTGTCTCTGTTTTTCTCTGCATTAATAGACTGTACTGTTTGTTTGTACGCTAACGATGTTAATTTATGTTTTAGAAAAAGATAAAGTTTATATAGCCAAATAACTTACTTGTTCTGACTTTGACCAAACCAAGACTCTGTACTCGACAGTCTAGAGATTATCTTAGAGTTGAATCTGTGGGAAATTGTTTCCTACAAGGAGGCACCAAATACATATGCGCCACACAAATCTCATTTGATATGTGTGAGGGCTGTGATACTGCCCGGGTGCCCAAACCAAAGTAGGTGGTTTTATTAGGGGGCCACTCCTTGAGCCTTCGACCTGAACGTCTGATCCACAAGGCAGTGGAGCATCGTGAGGAGATGCAGTCCCATGGCAGTCGGTGACCAACAATTAGTTCATACGCCATTTGTTCCCGCAGAATACTGGAGCCCATGTGCACCATTGGTTTGGAATCCAGTTAAAGCGCCGGACATTCGCTTTTCGTCCTCTTATTTCCGTAAACAACACTCTCGCCACGAGAAGGCAGTGAGTAGGACTTCCCTGACAGAGGCTGTATACGCGTGGCCATGTGAGAGCATTTCGATAGGGAGGGCGGACTCTCCCCACTCTCGGCCATACCAGGGCATTTGGGGGCTGTGGTTGAATAACATAAATGATAAACTTGTGTAAAGGGTTACATTACTTACATACGCCTGTTACACCACGTAGAACGTAGGCCGCCTATAGGGATTCTAAAGTCTGCTTTATCCTGGGCTTTCTTTACCAGTAGTTGCTAAATTCTACTTGTTATTTTGGTGTCTTCCAATTTGCAGTGCAATTTGTTGTTCTTTCTGTCTCTTTAACTTTTGTCTTCAGGATTCCAAGTTACGACTACCCTCTCAATGCAGTTTGACGATTTCCACAATGTGTCCTATCAAAATCCAGCACCTTTTACTAATTTCCTCTTCAGATAAAAGCTGGTTTGTTCTCTGCTAGAGTCAACTATTACTGATAGTGTCTGGCCAACGGATGTCGAGGGGAAAGCTATTTATAAATACCTGTACACTTAGGGAGTTGGTTGTAACAGTTCTCCAAGTTTCAGCTCCTCACAACAGGACTGTCTCGACATGGGCATGGAAAGTTCTGACTTTGATTTTGGTTGAAAGTTGTTCTGAGTTCCATATATTCTTCAACCATAGGAATGCTTCCCTTGCTTTGCTAATCCTTGCCTTTACGTCTGCATCGGATCCTTCTTTTTCATAGATAATGCTGTCCAGGTACGTGAAATTTTCCACCCCTTCCGGAGTTTTTCCGTCAAGTGTGACTGCGTTGCTGTTTTCGGGTTGTATTTGAGGATCTTGCTTTTTCCTTTATATATGTTGAGGCTTACTGATACAGAGGTTTCTGCTACACTGGTTATCCTGACCTGCATTTGTTCGTGTGTATGGGACGAAATAGCCAGTTCACCTGCGAAGTCTAGATCGTCTAGTTGCATTCAAGCTGTCGGTTGTATTTTGCGCTTCCCCTAAGATGTGGAGATCTTCATAATTCAGGTTTATATTATTCGAATAAAAATAAGATAATACCTCTGAGGGCGGTACTTAGGCCATCATTTAGCAGACTAACGCAGTAACGTATCTAATAAGATAGCTTAAAGAATAGATTGTAAAAACTATTTCCAAAATGCCATTTACCTGGTTATATTTTATTCTCTAGTTTAGACTAACTATGAACTTTACTGCTGCAAATATTAGATGAATATTTAACAAATGATTTCAATCATCACGAGAAAACTAATATCAATATATCTAACGTAATAATTCGACTAGACAAAACCAGAGCTCTGAAAACTCTGATAATTAAATGTTATCATCATTCCCATGTCTTTTATATCTTATTTTTATAATCTAGATCAAAACAGTAAATTTGAGTACGGTTTTATTTTGTATAATACATCCATTCAATTGTCTATAAAAATCGCATAAATACTGCGAGTTAATAATTGTAAATTTATCATATACCAATTCTTTAGAACTTGATTTATTGAGTTATGATGGAAAAATAAGATATTACTGATTTTTTCCATACATAATGAAATAAAATTTATATAATTCAACCATACATAAACTATGTAGTTATTTTAGAATAATCTTACCGGAACTTGACTTGATTCCATATTTAAAGCAAATAGCCGTTGACGAATTAAACGTGTACAAATCTAGATACAAAATAGATAATTTCACTTTAAACTATTGTTTCTTACGTTAAAAAGTCTAAAGGTTATTAAAAAGATTCTACCTAGGTTAAATAAATAAGTCTAGTAAACATTAATACGATAGTGTACTTTCAAAAATGTGGATTTTTATTTTCTCGATTCTAAATATATTTCAATTAGAAACGCTTTTCAATAGATTATTAATTTTATGAACAGAATGCAAAATGGTCGAGCTATATTATAAAGAAAGGAAATAAAGTTTCTTGAATTTCCTAACACTGTTTTTCATTCACAGAATATATTTGAAAAAAACTTAATCCTACAGTTAGAGTAAGAAATGGAAAGAAAGCTCTCCAGTAACTAAACAAACTTTATAATGTAAAATTAAGTGATAATCAAGAGAATCATTATTATCCTTTTAAAATTATTTCCAATTTATTTTCAAGAATTCACAAGTGTACAGAATGTTAAATTTTATTTTACACAATTTAACTTGACAACGAAGTAAGGTTATTACAAGTTTTTTTTATGAAGCATACTCACAAACATAATGTGTGTATTCATAACCTCACTCATGGTCGATGGGATTCGATCTGCACTAAGAAGGACCTTGCATACATGACATTGATTACCACCCATTGATCAATTAATTGTAAATTATTCCATTTATTTACAAATTGACATCGAGCGAATATAAGGAAGATAATTGATTAATTTTAAGTATGAATTATATACACGGATAATGAGTTCGTATATATAACCTGAGTAATAATTAAAATCCAAAGCCAAAATATGAAACTTTTCTGGTGGTACAGTAAATTAACGGAAAGTGCAAATTACTGATAATTTATAAATAGTAAACCATAGCATAAAAATCAACAGCCATGTATAGAGCGACGCAAAGAAATTATCTATGGATAGTTGATATATGACAAGAAACTATTTATATATGTAACTTTTCAAATAATCTACTTTATATGAATCGATGGGATTAGCAACAAGATAAGAGAGAAAAGCGACAGTATTTAAATAATAATTTGAGGTATCGTTGAGGATTAGCCACTTAGAACTCCAGATCAAACTTTGGGCATGAAGTTCAAAAACTTTCAAAGCCATAATTTAAAATTCTTTCTTAGCTGATACTAGCGGAGATTTTGGCAAGTGCAGAAGTATATAAGTGTGACAGTACATAATTTTAAATAAATAACTTGTATTTAGAATGTAATTTACGAAACAAACAGAACAGGCACTTTTACAGTTGTCAATTGTAAATTGGTGTATTTTGTTTTACAAATTGCACTTTTACTACTAAAGCTAATGATATTACATTATTATATGAAGAAAAGAAATTAAACCTGCAGCCTAATAACGTTAAGCTTATTCTTTAAGGTCACTAGGCCACTTTTGTGGAAATAAATGGAACGGGGAAAAATGGGTGATCCTTAAAATACTTAAATTTAGTAAACTTACTGCACGAATAATTTCTTGTCTTTTAAGTGAAGGGCCTGTTGAAGTTACCTTTACACAGAATGTGTCTCCTGTTTGAATATGACGAAGAATACCTTCTGAAATATAATTATTAGGACATTAAGTTTACAGCATGAGAGAGTTGATAAAATAATTCAAGAATAGATTTCAGGGAAATAAAACTAGCTAGGATATTCTTTAAACAATTCTAAATATTTGGCTTACAGTAAACAAAACGGGGAAAAATTTACAGCTTAAATCAATAACTAATGGAAGAGTGTTATAGAAATTTAGTAGATACGAAATATTTCAGTTTGTATGAATTAGTAATACATAGATTTTAGTAATCCATAGTTTTTTTTTCTTTTAATTAATCATGATTATTATACTTGTTTTGTGTAGTTATTGATTTAATTACTTATTTATAGCATTTAAACTGAACTCTTGCTCTTCAGCTGGATTTCTTTTCTAAAATATCTCATTTGCATGATTAACGAATTCTACATAAAATCAGTAAGACTTTAACACATTATACATAGGTGTATTCAATTAGAAATAAACATTATGTAGATGGTTAGCAAACTTCAAGACAATAACGAAATATGAAAACGATGAATTTTTTGTTGGACAAATTTTGTCTACATATAAATCTGAATGGAAAGGTTGGTTGATTAGTTTGATTTATATCAGACTACTCATACTACATGGTAGTACTTTTTAAATAGTCAAGAATGTCATACAGATCATTTGATAAAGATTTTGATATCGTATGCACTGGGTAGTTTGTGAATAATTGTTTATGTAACCTATGATGATATACCAGCATGTTTTCCCTTGTTATTTAAAGTCATTAGGTTTTCTCGGCCACATATGAAGCCGACTCCAAACAACTGAAGTGAATTTAACCGATGTTCGATGGCTTCCATTTGACTGACATAACATGACGGTAATTCATATATGTGATATTCAGAAATTATTATCAGCCAGTAGTAGGATAAAAGAAATCTTATGCACGTTTACTGATATATGGGGGAAGACTTTAAGTGATTAGGATGCGGGTGACCTACAACACTTTCTCCAAGTCCCAAGGATATATAATCACGTGGTGGACATCACTTGACTATTTCATGTCATGGTATTTTGTTTATCGATGGTCACTCATTAACAACGTAGGACCAGGCACATTTATGCATCGGTTCACGCGACCACACCTCATTAGCACAACAAGATGAAAGCCAAGTTCATATAAGCAGTTACTTCAATGGTAGCAATATATATTTTAAAAAAGATTGCATATAAGGATATAGTACAGGAAGAAAGAATTAGTTCGTAGAAAGAAAGATATGAAGTGATTTTAATCTCTTAGTTTAAGGTACGGCAGAGAGTGTATACACCAATATCACTGTGATCGATTCTGAGCCGTTCCACCCAGAGCCTCTAACCATTGGTTACGATAGTCACGCGGACCCCAACCAAGCAGTCTGCATCTAACAACATAACTGAGACTAGAAGTTAGTGGCTTCAAGTACTGATGCCACGTTTTGGTTTGGCCGCCCCGAACTTTCTTCCATCCGTCTCCAACACTAGTCAGCATTAAACATCGTGGTAATCGGTGTTCGGGCATACGTAACACGTGACCCAACCATCTCAGTCTATGAAGATTCACAACGTCATCAACTGATTTACCATCATTCCCTAATGCCCTGCGTCGAACCTCACTATTACTTACCCGGTGATCCCACCAGACGCCAGCAATATTTCTAAGGCATCTGTGGTCGAATACTAGTAGCTTACGAGTGCCTTCTACTCTTAATGGCCATGTTTCGCTGCCGTAAAGTAGAACAGAACAGACTGCCGCGCAGTATACTCGTCCTTTTATTGATAGACGAATATCTCGCCTTCGACATAGGTGACGTAAGTTGGCAAAAGCCAAACGAGCTATCTGAATCCATGCAGAGATTTCGTCAAACATTAACCCATTAGGGCTGATCAGACTTTCAAGATAAGTGAAGTTGTCGATGCGTTCGACTACTTCGCTCCCTGTCATTAGTTCAGGTGTTGACGCAGGCCAGTCCTAAAGCAACAACTTGCATTTAGGGGGAAACATCCCAAACATCCTGGCACTATTGCTGAGTGCTACCAAAAGACTTTGCATTTTATCAGTGTCTTCACCAAACAGGACTGTCATCTGTGTATTCTAAGTCAATAAAAAAGAACTCCTGGTGGAAGACCGATTCCCGATATTGCAGTCGATGGGAACATTATTTCCAGTAATAGGTCTATGATGGAATTGAACAAAAATGAAGATAGTGGATAACTTTGCCGGACACCACTTAAGGTTGTAAAGTCAGATGACAGTTCACCAGAAGCTCTGACTCGACTGGTAGTGTTCGAGTAAAGAGCCTTCACAAGATTTATGTACTTTGAAGGTACGCCTTTCAATGACAGACACTGCCACAGACCTTTTTGGTCTACAGAGTCAAATGCTGCATCTAAGTTAAGCTAATCTATCATTGTCGGACGCCGATAAACATGCCTATGTTCTAAAATCTGACGAATGGTGAATATGTAATCGGTGCAGACACGACCATGTCTGAAGCTAGCTTGGTTTTCTAGTGTTTGTGGTTCACGAATATTTGTTAGGTGTCTGATAATTACTGAGGCTAGTGTTTTAGACGCTATTAGTTAAACAAATCCCTCTATGGTTATCACAGGATGTCATTGATCCTTTCTTATATATTGGGACGATCAGTGATTGAGACCAGTCAGATGGGATTATATCCAGTTTCCGAATTTTAGCTAAAATATTAGTCAACCTAATCGCTGAAAACTGGACCTCCATCCTTAAAGACTTCAGAAATTAATCCATCTGGACTAGCCACTTTTTCTCGTTGCAGATTAGCTTAAGCCTTTTGAACTCCAATTAGAATTGGAGGACCTATTTCAGTGTTCCATTCAGGATGTTGGAAACGGTGGATAGCTGTAGATTAGCTGACTATCGATCGAGATCGAATTCACTCACTAAACAAACCGAAAATCCGTTTATCAAATCATAAAAGTCTCATTCATAACATTTATAAACTGATAAAAATATTGATATTATCAGAAATATACTGTATTGATTCGGGAATGGCCAGTCTGCTTAGCGCTTACAGCACTCAACTTTTAACGACTGGTAGGTCGAATATTTAAACTTTATCTATTTTCAGTTTGAAAAGAGCCCGAATTAATAGCTCTCACATGAAAAGAATGTCTTTAAGTCGAATACATAAACCCATATATGGTAAATGAGTTATATAATCATCCAATCAGTTCAAATAGCATCTGCAGAAAAGTTCAACATTTGTTCGAGAATATTATCTAAGATAGCAGATAGAAAGTTTAGTTAAAGTAAATGAATAGATTGCACAGTAAAACATTCTACAATGGCATAATCGTGACATTTCGATTACATGGTAAATTTTAACTGATAAATTCTTTATTATCAGGTTAGATATTATTACTTGCGACTTTAGAGTAGCGATATTTTTTACCTGGGACTTCATTTAGTTGAAACAACACTTATCAAGAGACGTTATGAAGCGACATTAAATTTAACAGGAATATTATTGTACGACTATGGTATTTTTATCACATTAATCACTTATTTTATTATTTATTTGAACACATGAATATTAGTACAAAGGTGTACCGATTACATATGCTCCACACAAGTCACTTGATTTGTGTGTGGGCTGTGATACTGCCCGGATCGAAGCAGGTAGTCTTCTTAGAGGGCCATACTCAGAGCCTTTAACCTTAATGTCTGATCCACAAGGCAGTGGAGCGACGTCAGGAGATGCAATCCCATGGTATCCGGTGACCAACAATTGGTTCATGCGCCATTTGTTCACTCAGAATTCTGAGCCCATGTGCACCATTGGTTCGAAATCAAGGTTTCCCAACTCCCCTAGGTGGATTCTCCGTATTTACCAACCTGATTAATGTGCCATATATTCGCTTTTCGTCTTCTCAATTTCTTAAACAACACCCTCGCCATGAGAAGGCAGTGAGTAGGGCTTCCCTGGCGGTGCCTGTGTACGCGTAGCCATGTGAGAGTATTTCGATAAGGAGAGTTGACTTTCCCCACCCTCGGCCGTACCAGGGCATTTGGGTGCAACCACTTATTTTGAAGGAAACAAAATGCAGAATAAACGCTAATATTGCAAATCAATGTAAGTAATGATACATTTTGATGAATTTGACACTTACCCGAATCAAAATCAAAACAAAAATCCGAAATTTGATGATAAATAGGCCGAACTAGTTCAATTCGACTAGGCAAGCTTGTGGGAATTTCAGGAGTGTTTTGAAGATTAGAATCCTCAGATTTGGTTGGTGATAATTCTTCCGTTGCATGGTGTTCACAAGATGGAATAAATTTGTCGCTCTCTTTCATGGTTCACTATGAGCTAAAATCTATTTTTAAAAAGACTGATGTACTTTGTTTGTTGTGTTTTAAAATACAGAACTAAAAGTTTACGGATTAAGTGATAAATTATGGCAATCTATCTTTGCTTAGTACCCTGTGAATAACCTCAGCACTGCTTACTTGACCATTTTATGATACACGTGCAATACTTTGAAAACGCTTGCGATCAAACATCCGGAACAAACACATGTGTTCTACTTTCAGAGACCAGGTTTCACAGCCACAGAGTAGTACATAGTTCCACTCACCCTTTTATGGTCAGATGGATATCACGCCTACTCCATGAGTAATGCAAGTTGCCAAAAATAGTCATCTTTTTGAACCCGTATTAAGACTGTAAAACATTAACCCACCAGGGCTGGTGAGTCTTCTAAGACAAGTGAAATTTTAAAATCATTAGGAAACTGAGCAGTTATTTCATCCTGATTCAAGGCCGTTTGATAGTAATCAATCACGAACATGACGTGAACACGTTATTTATCTACTAACTTGGAACTTATCAGCCTATGTTGTTTAACCATAGTAATCCGACGATATAGTACGATCGATACTATTGAAGGATGCTTATTTGATTTTATTGATTTCACAAGTTACGAAATATAAAAGCTGAAGAAGGTTCCCAAGTGGGTCACTGAAGGCTACAAGACAATTTACCGCTTGTAGAAATTCTCGCTCATTCGAAGATAATTTCCACCCTGAACTGATGTCAGACTGAGAACCAAGGACCAATTATCTGAACAGTATTTTACTAGAGTGGAATCTTTGGAGTTTTAGTTAGGTTTTCGTCCTATCAACTTTGTAAACATCCCCACCGCGAGAACGCAGTGAGTAGGACTTCCCTGGAGGTGGCTGTATACACGTGGCCATGTGCGAGCATTTCGAGAAGAGCAAACCCTCCCCACCCTCAGTCGTACCAGGGCATTCGGGGGCAGATCCTTCGAAGACATATAAATATATATACATATCATTTTTTAATGTAGAATAACACAAACATGACTTGTTCATGGAAAGAGGTAACATCATTTGCTAAAACAAACAACTAATTTTGTTGTTCTAAACAGGCGGAATTGAGGTCAGATGTGGATATACTAATTAATGGTAATCGTGTATTATCAATATTTCTGTGTATTCGATACGAGGAAAAACAGATAACGTTACACTAACTAGGCTGTGGATCACATTATATAAGAGGTAACTGGTTCCTGGTCTAAGTAAACAGGCTCTCTATTACTAATTAATAAAAGCATTTTTGGGATGAAATAAAGAGACTGGAAAGAAGAGAAATAAAATGTGAATATATTTGAACTATGAAGCTCTAGCTAACTTAAAATGTCCTCTGATTACATTAGATTATCTTATAGAACACATTGAGAAGTTTTAATAGGTATGTTACATAACATTAGTTTGGTAAAGAAACAATGTAACATGTTAAGTTAGTACAGTCTCTGTAAGTTGACAGTAGAAGATACTCCCACTGTTATGATTGCTAAAAAGATGTAACCGAAAACTTCCGTTAGTAATTAAACTGTGATATATGAAATTATAAATAAATATACAAAAACACAAATCACAATAATTTGTTGGATGACAACAATATAACAGATTATCGGTTAGTGAGTCCTCATAACTTGGAACGAATATGTATTGCTCAGATATTTGAAATTTATCTAGTCAGATAATTTGGTGCCTTTCACTAAAAACTCAACTTTTGAAGTTAAGCACAACGATCCACACAGTGTGGATTCCTGGTCTTAAGAACTTTCACTTTAAACATCTAAAAAACCAGAATCAACAAAAGCTCAGTCAGATCAGAAACCCTGTGATGACTTTGTAGGTTACAAAATTTATTTATAACGACTATAGCGATAAAATTGACATCGATCACTGAGTGACATTAGTATAGCGAAGAAGTCAATTTTAGCTCACATTATCCTCAATGTAAGAGAGAGTATAAGCTACGTATGTTTGGATTGTCAGATCACAGGTTTGTATACAAAATATCACTGTTTGCTTTCGTTTTTTATCCGGCTTCCCAAGTATTAAGTGATGCCCTGATAGGTTATTCATCCCGTTGTTTCATTGTTCATACCAACTCTTTCTACATGAAACTCAAAAATAAATCCCGGGGACAACATCTTACGAAACTGATTAAGTGGTGTAATATATATTTTTGGACTTTTTACCTATACTAATGTATCTTCTTGAATCTATTTTATCTTAGTAACTTTCAGTGCATCATGATGATAGTCTCATGATACTATTGGTTAGTGCTCTTTTTTCCTCATGGTTCTTTCGAAATATTATGAGCAATTCGAATAGAAACTAAACATTTATCCTGCATTCATTTCTAACTCAAACCTATTATAAGAAAATGAGAATAACGCAAAATGTTGTCTATAATTTTAGTGAAATCAAATATGTCATCATTATTACTACGTTAGTCCTCTGCTTACAGCAGCACAGAATTATGCCGCTAGATACTGAAAATATTCCAGAAAAAGGTAACATCCATGGACTTTATCGGTCCTTTTAAATGAATAATATATGATCTGCACATTGGTTCACGAATCGCTTGTTTATTTGTCCGCTGACATAGATTCTATTAGGTCAAGTGGTGTTCTATTGAGCTAAGATGTGCATTATAAAAACATTTTTTTGTGGTAACTACTTGGCCAGTTCTTGAATAATCGGAAGTTTTACGAAAGAATAGAATCCTAGTTCCACACTTGAGGCGAAAGCGAACTGGATAGCCTATAACAATCCTTGCGATAGAAGTCCCTCAGTTGGTTCAACTTAATTTTGAGTGCATAAAGTTTAAACCATGTGCTGAGGTTACACTCGGCGAATCGATGGAAGGCCGGCAATCAGCTGACAAATTCGCTCTAGGCATAAATTGGGGATGATAACATACAAACTATCGGGATAACGAGCAAAGTGGAAGATTTAATTTCGAGAAATGCAAACGTCAACTAGGAATCTAAGGAAGTTCTCAATCGATTCCGTACAAACTTCATCAAAACTATACCAAACCAGCGGCCTTGAACGAACAATCAAAACTACACCTGCCAATGAGCAAATTTAAAACGCTGTAACAGATAGTATGTTGCTAAAAGTTATGTGATTCATTATAATTCGCAATAAAAAAGCTTTGAATGATGATTTTATTTTGTATCTATTTGTTAAAGTAGGCATGTTGCTATTAGAAGTATAACAAATGTATCTCCGCGCTATTTAAAACGTGCAGTGGTATTTTCCCTCTGTGAATTAATTTTACTGTTTCGATCGTAAATTACTCATCAACACTGTTGTTTTCACTTAAGATGAATTTATCTCAGGTAAAGTATTCCTCAAGAGTATCGTTTTATTCAACGGTACTTAATCTTCTGTACTTTCAAGCACATTGGTTTGTTTTTATATTTGTTTGCACATTTGATCCGAATAGTTTTCGCTTTTTCTGGTCATTACGCGCTTCTCCTCTCTTTATATTGTTCGTGCATAGTTTCTTTCGGACGCTTCCGATCGATGGCCGCATATTTCAGAAAAAGCAATTGTTATCTCCCGGGATGTCGCTACACCATAGAACGTGGCTTGCAGTGCGATTAGTGCAAACGATGGTACCACGAAGTCTGCGTGAATCTAACGCTCGCTCCTTTTAAACGGATCAGTAAAATGTCTGCGTGTGGTTGTGTCAACAATGCTGATCATACACAAACCGACTGCTATCCGAAGTCATTGCCATGGTGAATGCTTCTAAGAGGAGTACTACTAAGCGTAGTCGAAGCACATCGGACGGTACTCACTCGGTTGATACACAAATTTGTATTAGGATACCAGGCATGAGCCCGAAATCGATTGACTTAAATCGGCCAAAGGAAAAAGGACCGGTCTTAAAGAGGTTTTCAGAAATAAGACCTAAAAAAGAAGTTTATTCTGTCCGCCGTCCCCAAAATGACAGCTAACACGCAAAGAGGACCAAATCGCAAATCTAGGTCCTTTTATAACTATAAAAGAAAAACCTGACAACCCAAGTCATCGGCAATTATCCAGGATTACAGACTGTGTGTGTGACTCGACTGTGGTTGATACTCCAGCGAAAGTTGATAACTGGGTCCAGATGTAGAGTAAGAGACGACATAATATTATTAAAGAAAAGATAATCCACAAAAAGTAGACGTAAAATCGAAAACTGTTCATAATGGCAGGTCGTTTGTCTTTCACTGAGTCAAGGATATTGAAAGATCACAACAAAAAGCTCGTTTTTGAGCATGACGTTGACAAGACAAAACAGTAACCAAATCAGCTAATGCGTCAGGATATCCCCGGAGTCAATCGTAAAAGGTCTATAGACTGGGTAGCCAAATGAAGTTGAAATAGAACAAAAACAGGCTTGCAAAATTAGTATTCAAACAACCCACTGAAAAGGGATAGAATACTACAGAATGGTTATAAACTGACAAAAAGGAAAACTTAGGTTCGAAAAGGACCTACAAAATGTAAATTTTCGGGTTATGAGGCCTCAGCAGAAAATGATGCCGAAGTTAAGATATTTGTGTTGGAGGTAATCTATTAATGTGGATAAAAGACTTCGTGGTTGGACGCCAACAGATAGTACGGGTGAACTCCAAGTTGTCCAGCTGGGAAACTGTGCTTACAGGAGTGCCTCAGGGTACAGTTTTGGGACCAATGTTATTCCCCTTGTATGTTAACAACCTTCCTAGTCTTCTATCATCATCTGTCTTGCTATATCCTGACGATATCAAGATATGGAGAGCGGTAAAAAGTAAATGTTATAGCTTAGAGTTTCAAAATGACCTGGAGAGATTATCTAACTGGTCTGAAATCTGGAAATTGCCGATAAATGCTTCAAAGTGCATTGCGATGCATATCGGTCACCAAGATACAAATACACACATGGTGAATAACATTGAGCTACCTATCGTCCAGACGCACAATGACTTAGGAGTCATTGTTGGGCAAAACTTAAAAACTACTACATATTGCCGTGCCATAAACGCCAAATGTTTTGGAACCCTATGTTCCATACGTGAAGCCTTTAATCATGTCGACGCTTGAACGTTTTTGACTTTGTATGCAGATTCGTGCGTCCTAAATTTGAGCACTCCATACGAGTGGCTAGCGCCTGCTTAAAAAAGACGGTGAGCTTTTGGAAAAGGTTCAGAGGATAGCAGTTAAGTTGATTCCCGGAATAGCGAAGCTTCTGTGTGATGCTCGACTGGCTAAACTAAACCTATTCTCGTTGTCATAACGAAGAACTAGAGGTGACTTGATTACATTTTTCAAGTTCCTAAGTGATAATTTTGTCTGATGTGCTCTCATTTTTCCGCCTTTAAGTTTACGAGGACACTCTCAAAACTTTCACCAACCCGGAACAAATTACTTATTTATTAGCTGACTATCGACTTTGCCATCAAATCGTCAACGAGTGGAATTTATTACCTCCGCGGGTGGTTGGAGCTCCATCTGTCGACTATTTCAAAAGAAAGTGGAGTTGATTGAGAGATAATCATTGCTGGGACTAACACATGGAACAAGCTTCTTGCCCATCCCAAAATGAAACTGACCATGGTTTAAGCTTTAGGAGCTTCGAGGTCAGGATGTAGATTTACGGGATATTATCATCATGAGCTGGTCTAAGAAGGGCTGAAGAGAGGTGCTAAGGCCTCAATCGGTGAGACATAAATTTGTGGATGAACCAATCGAATTTACTGTAAGAGATCTTGGATTTTGGCGTGAAATTAATCCGTCTATTCGGTTAAAAGCATTTTAGCATTTTAGATGGTGTTGGTTCGTCTAGAAAACCTTTAATCTTGTTCCTGACCCCAACCATCAATTCTAAATCACGATACTCATCCTTCGTGCTGGCTGATAATTCATTTGGCACTAGTAAGCATATGGATATTCTCAAGGTCACTTTCACGTCGCTGAGAAGTCATTCACAAATTATAGTGTCACCCTTAAAACCCGAAAGAAGTAAGAATGAGAATTAGCTTCGGGGTTTAATACAGAATTATTAACTCCAGTTTTTTCGAACTAACCCGCTCTTTTGAAGGTTGTAACTTTTTTTCACGTGGTATTATTTTATTTTCCTACTAGTTTTTCTCTTTAATTTAACGCTTAATAGCGATAAATAATTCGTCACTGATAGGGTTCTATCAACTTGACACCTTATTAGGAACTCAACGTCATAAATTAATCTTGCTAATTTTCACGCTATCTCTATCATC